TGTGATTAAGGAAACACTTTGGCACTTAAATCCCTTCTATCAATGTTCTTTTTTACAATTTGGCAGGGCCAGATGATAAACAGGTCTGATAAGATTCGACTCTTTTAAATGGCTCCTTTTCATGGCTCTTTAACACTTGCTAATCTATTTGATGAGGGAATGTTGGTCATTATGCCCCCCCCCCCCCCCCCCCCCCCCAACACACACACACACACACTATGCACTGACTACTCACTCAGTCACATACTCACACATAGATTTTTTTGCCCCCTCTCTCCTCTAATTCTATCTTCCTATCTGCACCCTCTGCTATTTTCTTCACTATCCCCTCCTTCCTCTAAAGCGGTGAAGCCACAATGCTAGCCCCTGCTGCATTATTAATGGGATATTAATGATTTTCTGACTTGCCGACCTCTAGGTCTCCATTAGTTACCTGTAGGCTGATGAAACCCAGTGCTCCTGAACAAGGCCAGCAACCAGGGCAGTACTAATGAGACCTAGACTCTCACGTTCATTAACATAGAGAGAGATGGGTGGGAGGGGGGAATCTATAGGGTTTTTATTCTGTAGGAGGTTGAGGAAGAACACTATTGGTGTTGATAAAGATTTGTGACTAATTAATATTAAGCTTTACAACAATGTGAGCATTTGTGTAGTAGGGCTGGGCAGTATACAACAGCATTTTAGTAGCATGTTAAAATTGTTGGTAACACTTTACAATAAGGTTAATTATTTAACATTAGTTAATGTATTAACTAACATGAACTAACCACGAGCAATACGTTTGTTACTGTATTTGTTCATCTTTGTTAACGTTAGTTAATAAAAAATGCAGCTGTTCATTGTTTGTTCATGTTAGTTCACAGTGCATTAACTAATGTTAACAAGATTTTAATAAAGTATTAGTAAATGTTGTAATTAACATTAACAAAGATTAATAAATGGGTAACGCTTCCTTTTACAGTCCTGTTACCCATGTACTTACTGTGTACTTATTATAGTAATTATAATTACTGGGTAATAACTAGGTACTAACCCTGAACCTACCCCTAACACATGTACTTACCTTATATTAGTCAGTACTTTCTAGGTAAGTACACTGTAAGTACACGTAAGTACTGTACTGTAAAAGAAAGCGTTACCAACAAATGCTGTATAAGTGCAGTTTATTATTAGTTCATGCTAACTACAGTAATTAAGTTAAGTAATGTTAAATAAAGAACCTTATTGAAAAGTGATACCAAATTTTTTAACATCTAAAATTTTGATAATACAGCTTTTGCTAGAATAGTGTCCTTTATTCTCATAATTTTAAATATGATATCAGTATTTTTTTTTAAATGTTATTACTTGAATCAACACTTTATTCCAGTAGTCCACTTTAGACATTATACTAACTAACTTTCCAACATGTCAACTATCAGTCATTACAGTATTAGTAGACTCTCTGCTTAATATCTACTAACACTTTATTTTGATGCTCCACAACAGACATTCTACTGACTATAAGTAATTTTGCAAGTAAGTACATGTCAATTTACACTAACCCTAACTCAAACCTAACAGTCTAATGATACTATATTGAGAGTTAGTTGACCTGTAGTTGCAAATTAATGAGAGTTAGTTGTTATTAGTCGCAAAGTTACTTATAGTTAGTACAATGTATATATATACAGGGTTTGAAATTAACACTCACCAAATGCGGGTAAAAACCAACAGTGGCGGGTAACGCTGTCAAATAACTAGCCAATTTGGCGTGTTACTATGTTTACTCACTTTGCTGGGGAAGTTCGTGTAAGCCAAATCTGCACGGATTTAGCGCAAATACTCAACTCGTGAGTCATCATGATTATTAAATATAGCATATTGCGCAAAATCTGCACATATCTGGCTTACTTGAACATGCGTCACTACGCAACAAATAACGGCATGCTTGTTCATTTGCATTGAAGCAATAGCGAAGATTAAAAAGCATTTGGTTAACAGAAAAGGCATTGTTATTTTCCAACATCCTACATGTTCTTTGTACCGTATTGATCTGTACACATTTTTGGTGAAAAGGATGAGAATGAATGAGAAAGGGAGGAGACTGCTGGATGACAGGATTTTGTTTGAATAAGAAATGAATGTATGAAATCCAAATTTTATATATATATATATATATATATATATATATATATATATATATATAATCAATTAGAAAACGCCATCGCACACCTGCAGGTGATAGGTGCATGGGAAAAAAGACCAACTAAGTAGGTCAAAAAATCAACAATAAAACAAGGAACTCCCGCACGCTATCAGTACTTGCAAATGAGTATCAAAATTTTATTAGCAACATTTCGGTCTCACGACCTTCATCAGGCATATGCCTGATATATATAGGCCTATATATATTTATATATATATGCAGTATATGACATCAAGCTGTGACGTAGTAAATCTGGTTAATCTTTTTTCTTTTTCTTTTTTTGGCTAGAAGTTCTGAATGGCCGGTAACTTAAAATTTAGTAGCCAAATTGGCCGGCTATATATATATATATATACTGTATGTCCATACACAGTTTGAAAGACAAGCTTTTGGCAGCTACAGACAGATATACTGATTTGAAACTGAAGGGGAAGAGATGAAGAATTCAGAAAAGTTGTGAATACATATGCTCCACACAGAGATATCAAGTCCACTTGAAGAAATCGCTTGAAGTCCACTTCCTACCTGCAAAGCTACAGTACTGTGAAAAGTTTTAGGCACTAAAAATGAATGTTTGGAAATGTAAACTGATATTTCCTACTGACACAAATATATTCAAAAATATATATAAATAACTGGCTTAAAACCATTTGATTGCATCGTAAGTTACTTTTTTTGGATTGCCAAAATGCACAAATGCAAATGACAGCAGAATGCCAATTTATACACTGCTACTCTCACATAATTATACAATACATATAGTATATATCATACTTTTCAGCCCTAGCTTATACTGTAATAATATGAGAGAAATAAACTTTCACTGCCAGCCATGTATTTATTTTTCTTTGAAGTGAAGTCTGGAAACAAGGCAGTAGCCATATCCCATTATGCACTGCTTCTCCTAATGCAGAGTCCTGAGGTGTTGCACAGTTTGTGCCGTATGAAAGTCGTGTTTAACGATCATTAAAGTTCGGAACACTGGAGTCATGGTCACCTGGCATCTGTATTAACATGGTTACTAAGGCAACCAAGCCTAAGAGCTGCGCTCTTTAGAATTTCTGAAGAAATCTTGGCAAACCCTACGGTAAAGGCCTATCCACTAGTTTGAAAGATAAGCTTTTGGCAGCTGTAGACACATATACTATTTGAAACTAAAGGGGATGAGATGATGAATTCAGAAAAGTTGTGAATCGTAAAAACAAAGTCTGCAGAAACATAACGAAACACTGACAAACAGACAGCACAACCAAAACATATTCTGACAGTCAAACGAAGAGGGAATGCCAGGAATACATATAGAGAGAGAGAGAGTTAGAGAGACAGGGCTCCACCCCATTCTGAAGTTTGCAGGTTGCTTGGCAATGTAAAAGAGCAGGTGAGTCGGTGCAGCGACACATCGGGTTCGGAAAGCATGTTGTATAATCCTTTTCCACATTTTCCTTCTTCCTTGCCGCCCTCTTTTAAGCCCCTTTCTTCTTGTCTGTCTTCGTCTCTTATTCTCGCTCCCCCTCCCGCAGTCTGTCCATCAGAAATCTCATTATTGTTGGCTGTGTATACATCTCAGTGTCTCATTAGCAGGCTTCCAGAGCGGCAGAGGACACAATGTCTGAACTTCTGTACCAATTTGTCTGCCTCTGTCTCCCTCTCTGTCTGGGAACCGCGTTTCCCACAGTGCATTAGGCCTATCCTTCAGCAAACTGAATAAGTAAAGATGGCCGAGGCGCGGGGTGAGAAGTCAAACTGCAGACTCATGGGAAATGAAAAAGGCTCTCTTGACCATCATTGGGTCCAGCTCTGCAGTTTGCCTGTGTGTTTCTACATGTGTCTATGGGGACCAAATGACCCCCAAAATTTGGTAAAACCTGAAAAACCATGCTGAAAATTACCTGGCCTCAGATGTTTTTCTGGTCTTAGCTGGCGTGAGATGTTCTAGCTGTTTTTTTTCTTCTCGAAACCCCTCTAAAACCAGCTTATCAGACTAGTCTAGAGTTATGTTTTAAGCTGAAACATTAGCTTCATAGGGACTAAATGTATTTTATGTACACTAGCATTCAAAAGTTTGTGTTTGTACTGCTCTGGAAGCCTGCAATGTTTTTGACAGTCTCTAATGGTCAGCAAGGCGGCACTCATTTGATAAAAAAAAAACTGTAAAATCAGTAATTTTGTGAAAAATTGTAAAATATAATTTATTCATGTGATGATGGCACAGCTGAATTTTCAGCAGCCATTACTCCAGTCTTCAGTGTAACATGATCCTTCAGAAATCTGATTTGATGATAATCACAACTTTTTCTAGAGCAGCAATGTTGATACAGTTGTGCTGCTTAATATTTCTTAAAGATACTGCTAAAAGATTTTTTTCCAGAATTATTTGATTAATAGGAAGTTCAAAAGCAGCACTTATTTAAAATAGAAATCTTTTGTAACACTATTAATGTTTACATTTAATGCATCCTTGCTAGTAAAAACAAATTACTGACCCCAAACCTTTGAACTTTAGTGTACAAATTGAAAAAAGTTTGGGGTTAGGGTTAGTATTTATAATCAGTTTAATTTTAAAACGCTTTAAGTGATGCTAGTCATTTTCCACCACACTTATTTTCTAACATAATGCTGAAATGTGTCTAAAAGGTATGAATCTAAACATGAATCTAAAGGGTATTCAGTATGAAGTTGAACATAATTTGCTTTAATAGGTAAAACACCTATTAAAGCAAATAGTGAGACTTTTTACGCTCACAATATCAATCGGTCTCAATATGAAGCTCTTAATGTTGGACCTAACACTGCTTTTCTCTCTTCACAGGTTAACGAGATCTATCATGACCAATCTCTCGGGGCACGAATAAACGTGGTGCTAGTTCGGATTGTTTTGGTGGATGCCAAAAAAGTAAGAACCATTGTGTGTGAATCATGACTCTAATGACATCATACATCAAATATCAGATGAAAAGTTAAAGTCAGCATGAAATTAAAATGTGCCCTATTTGCTATTTTATTGGTTTTATTATACATTATAATAGTTTTTTTTATCAGTACATCTTTTATCTACATAAAAAAAACTTCAATTGACATATTTTGGTGTAATCTTTCATTTAGTTAATGCTTCAGAGACAAATATTAGCAAACAATTTGTAGGCTAACTTCCCAAAACGTGTAAACTGGTTTTGTGACAGTTTCAACATTGTTTGAGGAGCCCCACACATTAAGCTGTGGATCAACCAATGGCATGATCTTTTTTTTTTTATCAATTGAAGTGATTGGGAAACTTTATTTTTTAATTCAGTTTGGTGTACAGTAGCTAGTAGTAGTGGAGAAATGACACACTTCTCTTTAATAGTTGGTGTTTCATCTGAGACTGATTTCATTTTCAGACTCTAGTTTTCACCTTGATAGAGCATTAATGTTACCTAAAACATTTTTTTTTTTTTTTTTTACAAAAATTCCCAAATTATCAATTTCGCTGTCTGTAGCCATTTAGCACCTTTGCCGTTCTGTATCATGACAGGTTGACATATTGCATCAGCAGCAAACATGTATAGACACATCTATCTCTCTCTCTTCCACCCTCCATCTAACACTCACACCAACACAAACACATAAACACACTCCTAGCTTAGTTTACATGCACATCTTTTCCCACCCCCTTCTGCTGGGTGCTCACCATGGCCTTGGGCCTGTTATTCCACCGGACTGAGCAAACGGGAACTAAAAGCATAGCTTTCCCATGGGAGTCTTTTCAAAGTCACACGCCTTCACAGTTCAACACCAAAGCGCTGATGTTATGCAATTGCCTTCCTAATACCCCCCAATCCCAACACATAAACACGCACACACCAGCACCTCCCCTATGGGACTGAGCAAAGGATTCTGGGAAGAAGAATCAAGAATGTCAGACAAACAATCAATGATGACCCTGCCTCATTCATAAACACAGCTCCATAAAATGCTGCTCTTCCTGTAACTGGAGACAGTCTCAGATGTGATTGACCTGATAGTGACCACAGTTCTAGGCTCAGCTTTCATCTGACACAGTTCCTCAATAAGAAAATCCCATATCTCTTCAATATCTCCCCTAGACAGAAATTAAATGAAATGAATAGCAATAGTGTGCATTACATATGCATTAGTGGTGGAGATTTTTCAGTGACGGTTTCCATATTTTACATCCTTATGCCATTTGGTGGTGATGGGTGACTGTCTTTATGAGTGACATTGAATCTTTAATTCAAGTGATTCGTTCAAAACACTGATTCATCAGGAACAAAACAAGTGACTGCCTATGACTGATTTGTTCATAAATACTGATTAATTCATTCAGGAACAAAACACTTAATTATTTTTATGAGTGAATCATTGATTTGTTCCCATTTCCCCATCATTCTAATCATTCATTCAAGCGATTTGTTCAAAACACTTATTCATTCAGGAACAAACAAGTGACTGCCTTTATGAGAGAGCCATTGAATTATTTACTTAACCAATTAATTCACAAATACTGATACATTCAGGAACAAAATAATTAAATTATTGTTTCATTAACATGAATCAATGAGTAAATTATCTATTCAATCATTTATGAGAGATTCATTGAATCATTTATTCATCTGAGTTGTTCAAAAACACGAATTCTTTCAGGAAAGCCACCATTGTGCATTTCTCAGAGACAAAACGGTTAATTTTGCTGTTGTTTTGTACCTTTTGAACAGTAATTGGCAACATTTTGTCTAAAATGTAAGTTACTCAATATTAACTTTAAGTTCATTGAACTGTTGAATAAAAGCAATATCACACTTGCAATCTTGCTGAAATATAATTATTTTTGCTAATGTGATATTGCTTAACTAGGTCAAGTGTGTATTTTATTGTTGCTGTTGTTAAAATACTTTCTCTCATGCCAATTTAACATTTAATTAAGCTTTTATAGGTTAGATTCCCATTGGTTAAAACCTTTCAACATTCTTTGTTTGACCTACCCGAACCCGACACAGCAACATTGACAACCAATAATGTGAGTTAGGTGCGAATAATATATATTTGTATTTTTTTTGACAATGGCAGATGATCAGAATGTTTGTTATTATTGTTTTTGTGACATTAATTCTGTTTGGTGCCACTATTTTCATACTTCACCTTTATATGAAACAATCCTGAGACAAACACAGCTGAGATTTGAAAGAGCAATTTTCCTCTGGGAAAATCTGAATAATATGATGTCTGGAAAAATGCATCTTAATCAATTGTGAAGTTAACACTGTAGCAATGTTTGTGTTATGGGAAGGAGGCGGGAACCGGCAAACGTTCACAAACTTATATAATAAGGAAATAAACAAATAACAAAACGAAAGTAAAAGTCCCTCAAGGACGACTGCTGCCACATACAATACAGAAATACAACATAAATCCAGGCCTGGTCCTCTCTCGATGTTCACTGTCGTCGCTCATCCTTTTATGCTTCCGCTCCTCCTTGAGAGATACGAGACCGGTGCGTCGCACAGGTGTCGCTCATCAGCAATCACGCCACCGGCCTCGCGCCGTTCTCCCACGGCCCTCTACCTCGTCCTGCTCGCCACAAACACCTACGCCATTTATTCAATCAGTATCAGGTTCAGGAAGAAAGGATCTTTTCTCTAGGAGTTCTATCTGGATGTGTTACCCATGAGGAAGATATTTTTAAGCCACTTAAACATGACAATCCATCACCTCTCTATCTCTGCGACGGAGCTTACCATTACCACAAATGTCAGTTCACCCAGCGGGAGGAATAGCTCACAACGCTATGGTGCCTTTCAAATTTTGCTCTTCTTACTGAGACACTATACCACCAGCCATTATGATAAATGGTGATTTTTTTCCTCAGTGACAGATAGTGTGTGAGGTTACATGCTGATTACGTGCAGTTTCAGGTGAGATGGAGAGACAGAGGTCTGCAGCGGGTCAGGCAGATGGCGTTTCCTACGCTGATTTGTGGTGATTGTCCCTCTGGCCTTGTCTTTCGAGGATTAAGTTCTTAAAATGCAAACTGTCCCACATGAACTCATCAGGCGGTTAGCACACAGGGCTCTCTCTCTCTCTCTCTCTCTCTCTCTCTCTGTTTATCTCTTTGTCAGTTCTCTTTTCATCTCTGTCTCTATGCTCATACATCCTCTGGTTTCCTTTCCATTCTGTCTTTTTCCTTCAGTCTGTTGGTGGTCACGCTTCGTCTGCCTCTCACTGTGACTTAAAATGTTGTTTAACTCCATTCAGGGATGTGGTGGCCACAGGGACATTCCCAGTGGGTTGGTTGACCTGTGGGCTGGCTGTCGAAACCCAATTTAGATACAAAGTAAATATACAATGATTTTAAAGAGAAAAAATGTTCTGACACCAAGGCCAAGTAGCAGATCCTGGCATATATGACATATACACCAATTAAATGCTATTGAATGCATTCCTGATACCTAGTTTATGGAAAATTTGCATGCAGGATTTAAACTTTAAACAAAAATGTTTCCATCGCTGTTATTTTAGTATTATTTACATGCTATTAAAGTTTCTATTATTTCTATTAACATTTTGAATTAGCTCTTACTTTTATTTTCAGTTTTTGTTTTAGTTTATATATATTTGTTTTTAATCGTTTTAATCGTTTTAATTTGTTTTTAATAGTTAACAATTATCACCCTGGTTTCCATCCAAATGTTGTATTTAATTTATACAAACAAATGTAATATTTCAAAAAGATTTCACGAATACACCAGCATTTCCATACCATGTGTTCAAGAGAACGTCTGGGTTACGTATGGTAACCCTCGTTCCCCGAGGAGGGAACGAAGACGTGAGTCAGAATTGATTCTGACGAATGGGGATCGCTTGCGAGAGCCTATCTACTTCGAGTGGAACTAAACGAGCCAATGCATGCGATAATTGCGTCGCATCCTTGTTTTTCCGCTGAGGAGCCGGACTTGTGACTCGGCTGTCCAGCGTAAGCTCAGCAACTGTGGCGAGGGGTCTCACGTCTCCATTCCCTTCTCGGGGAACGAGGGTTACCATACGTAACCGAGACGTTCCCCTTCGTCAGCTCACTATGACTTGAGTCAGAAGTGATTCTGACGAATAGGGATATCTAACAAAACGCCATGGCTGCTGGCCCTTCCAGCGCTCCGCTTCAGCCTCCTGGCTTGACCGCAGTGTTGGGCAGAAAGTAGGAGCGCTAAGCAGAGTAGGTCAGTCACTGCTGTTCCGCAAGACTCACTCAGTGTGACTTATTGGATAACGCTGGGAAAGCGTGCCCTTGGGGAAGGAAACGCTGCGGAAGCCATATCCTACCCCTGAGGGAGGCACTCTGACGGATACACATATGGACTAGCCAAGCAGGGTAGTACAACATATGGCAGTCTCTGGGGTGGTTCCAGTCTAGTTATAGGGGGGAAGAACACCAGCAGAGACGACAGAGCAGGCTCTGTCGAGGGAAAGACACGGGCTCGGCCGCAGGAACAGCATTCACTGTCTGGCTCCGAAGCGAAAGACAGGGATGCGGTGCACCTGCTGCTCATTATATGCTCGCGCCGCGATGCACAGCAGCTGGTGCAATTATCACATGCCAATGTGCATTGGCTCGTTTAGTTTCACTCGAAGTAGATAGGCTCTCGCAAGCAATCCCCATTCGTCAGAATCACTTCTGACTCACGTCATAGTGAGCTAACGAAGGGGAACAAAACCATCATGGGGATTTGAGCAAAAATGTTTTCTTTTTCTTCGCTACAATGCATGTTATTAAGTCACATGACTTTTTTGATGCATATTTGCCGGTATAGTTAATTTGTTATTCACATGTTGTTATCCATCCAGCTTTTTTAATGCAAGATCCCATTTATTTTCTCTAATTAAAAAAAAAAACTAAATAATACAGTAAGCATTCATTTCTATTAGGCAGGCGTAGTCCTTTTTTTAGTTGTGCTCATACGAATACATTTCAAGAATTTATCTTGAAGAATTTATCTTAGTGAATATGCATATTTTTTTTAAATGAACACATTCTTACAGGATTATCATGACATCAATTTGTAAATAAGTGCTTTAAACATAATTGAATAATAGCCTATTAAACTAGTTTGTCCCAACATATTATTTAATTAAAGCAAATACACACACTCAGAACTCAATTCATGGCTATCATAACTCAATGTACGGTTAGTCTCTACGGATGTCTTAGGATGATAAAACTATCATTCACTTTTTTCTTTTTCATCTTTGCATGTTTACAAGATTATCTTTTTACTTCCTGTTTAAAGGGCACCTATTATGCCCCTTTTCACAAGATGTAAAATAAGTCTCTGATGTCCCCAGAGTGTGTATGTGAAGTTTTAGGTCAAAATACCCAACAGAATTTTTTTTAAAGCATATTTAAATTGTCACTTTTTGAGGCTCAGAAAAATGCACAATTTAGTGTGTATCCCTTTAAATGCAAATGAGCAGCTGCTGCCGGCGTAGAGGGCGGAGCCTCACGAGCTTGCGCTCTGTCAGGACAATCTCATCTGATATCAAAACAGAAACTCTCAGTAGCGGTGTTCATTTCGACCCGGAGTCGGACAATAATGCCTACAGAGTCAGAGAATATATGCTGTATGGAAAAAGAACAGGTATAGTTTAGTTTAATTACTGTTATAACTTATTTTTCATCTTGCTTTTATCCACCATTAGTACAAGCCTGTTGTAGCGGACCGTGTCCGAATGGTGGCCAAAAATATACTGATGAGTTCAATGAAGTTTGTTGTACATCACACAAAAGATGAAGCGTTAGTTTTACTCCAGGGAATCACTGTAAGAGCTGAATAAACACAGTATAAGAAGTGCGCATTAAAGTCTTATCCATAAACTCTCTCTCTCCCTTTCATTATCATCAACATAACTTACTTACACAGCGAATTACACAAAACACAGTAAACAAATACGTATATACACACCTTTTTAGGGGTGCTTAATAAACTAGTAAACTTTATATCTGTAATAAAGTGCGCACTCTCACTTTCATTTCTGCCGTGATCACTGATCATCAGTAACATTAGGCATATCGTTTCGGAGACCTTAAGCTGGATCACGAACAGTTGGTAACTGTTACAGATCCATCCTCGAGTAACAACGAGAGTAAATGAAGACTGCTATGTTCATTCTTACATTCAACAACAAAACACCTCAATCGCTTTGGATACATTCTTGTCTACAGCTGCTCCGGTGTCAAAACAATGGCGGACTGTGTTTAGATCACTCAGGGCGGGTCTACGCTAAAAGCAGCAGTGTCAGTCAACAGTGGGCGGGCCTTGTGCAAAAGTACGTCACATTGCCCCGAATCTGAGAACTGCTTGTTCTGAGACAGTGCTTATGATTTATGGGGATTTTATCATTATAGGGTGGTTGTGTACACACACTGCCAAAACACATTTATGTTCAAACGCCATGTAAAAGTGAATTTAGCATAATAGGTACCTTTTAATAGAGGCACATTAATGCAGTTGTTCCATTTTAGTAATTTCATTGCAGATTTGTTAACCTGACTTCACTTACTTCACTCATCTTTCAGTGTGGAAACCTTCCCACTGTCTTTTCTTATTCACACTCACTCGCATTCTCAAATCTCCCAGGATCACCCACTTATTTCAGTAGCATGCTACAGATATACATCTTTCTCCATCTGCATCTTTTTCTTTCCACCTCTCCCTCCCTCTTATTCTCGCTCATACACAAACGCCTGGTTCTTCCACACCCACTCCTCTCCCCTGCCGCCTCAGCCCCAATCAGCATGCAGCCTCGCCCGTCTTGCCAGCAGGTTGTCCATCATTCCCAATTACTGTGGCAACCGTTGCTGCCGGCAGCGGCACGCACGATCAACCGAGTGACCCCTCGCACCTCCAACAAGGTTTCAACATCACAGTCTCTTCCGCACATCTGTTCCGCTCTTCCCCTCACCTAGCGCCGAAAAAGATAAAGAGACCCTGACACGACACACCCAGCATCAATCCACAGAGCGCGCTAGAGTGTGTGTGTGTGTGTGTGTGTTCAGCGGATCACAGAGACTATAAAGATGCCGAGACGTTCTTTTAATGAGCATGCTTGCACGTCTGTCATGTATTCCGTTAACAAGAACAAGATAAAGTCTCCTGTGTACAGAATCCCGAGAAACACCCTTTGTGACATTATCAACAAACATATCAGTGATAAGTGAAGATAAATCATGTGTTTAGTAACTAGTTTACGTTAGTTTGCTGCCTGCGCACAAACCTACCGCTTAAAAATCATCAGTCACAAATAAATGAAGTGTAATGCGAGAATAAAGCTGTGGATGCACTTGTGCTGAGAGCGATGCTGAGTGGAGTTATTTCCCACCACCCTTTTTCTTTCCCATGGTGCACAGCAAGGCATTGGAATGGTGAAGCTTCCCTCTACTGGTTGATGAAGACATTGCAGCGTAGTTCTCAGAGTGCATGACCTTGTTACAATGCAAGAAGCATGAGAGCAAGGCACAGGGAGAGAAAGGCAGTTTCAGGACACACATCTGGAAAGGATCTACTTCCAATGGCTCTCGTGGCCATGTCATCAAAACACAGCCGCGCATTCCTGTCTGGATGTTTCTCTGCACACATTTATCTTCCTGCACAGAATGCGGCGAAAAACCAGAGCAATGTTTACGTCTGTGTTCACACAAGTGTGAAATGAAGCAATAATAACTGTCATGGCTGCCGGGGTTTCAACTTTTTTCTTTTGTTATTGTATAAACATTTCATGTCAACGTGTTCAGTTTCACTAAATTATATCGATTGGATCGTTCAGTACTTAAAGGGCGTTAATGATACTAAATGATTGATGAAAAATTGTGTCGTGCTTTTGAAGTTTGTGTTGATGTAATTGTTTAAGAGTCTGTCCTCTGATTAAAGGAACAGCTTAGGTTCAGCATCTGTGATTTGACCGCAAAAAAAAATTTTTTTGATTCATCCCTCAGTGTAATAACAAACAACAATTGTTCAGTGTTCAGTAATTGATGGATGTCTTAGGGGCAAGTGTGAGGTGCAATTTATATGAAATTTAATAGGTTTACTAGGATTAAATGGTCATTTAAAGTTATTTAATATTAATTTAAATGGGCAATGCTATTATACAATTATATCACACTACTCTCTTGTGGTTATTTGCTACTATTTCAAAGTTTGGGGTCAGTACGTTCTTTTTTAATTAATTATAATAATATAATAATAAAAAAATGTAAGCAAGGATTCATTCAATTGATCAAACGTGACAGTAATGACCTTTATAATATTACAAATAAATATTTTTATTTTGAACTTTCTATTCATCCAAGAATTGTGAAAACATTACTGTTTTCAACATTGAAAATAATAAGAAATATTTCTTGAGCAACAAATCAGCATATTAGAATGATTTCTGAAGGATCATGTGACACTGAACACTGGAGTAATTATGCTGAAAATTTAGCTTTGCATCACAGGAATAAATTACATTTTAAAATATATTAAAGTAGAAAATAGTTTGGATTTTTTTTTTTATCTAAGAAATGCAGCCTTGGTGAGCATAAGATACTTTTTTCAGAAACATTTAAAAATCTTACCGACATCAAACTTTTGAAAATTTTTGAACTTTTGTACATACTTATATTGGTGCAATACTAGTTGATTTTTTCCAATTTTCCATATGACCCATGTGCTGTATTCCAGGTCTTCTGAAGTCATAGGTTTATGCGAGCAACACACCAACATTTTACAACAGATTCTGTCAGAAATTGTGATAGAATGTACATTTTTAATTAACTGTTCCTTTAATAGTTTGTATTGAAACCCACAACTTAATTTAGATGTTTGGAATTGATTCACACCACCACCAGATCCCAATAGCGAAATCAAAATTAAGCTTTGAGCGTAACTTCCTTCTCATGTATGCTTTCAGTCCGCGAGTCTCATTGAGCTGGGCAACCCTTCTCAGAGTCTGGAGAATGTGTGTAGATGGGCTTTCGAACAGCAGAGGAAGGACACAAATGATAAAGATTACCACGATCACGCCATCTTTCTCACTCGTCAAGAGTTTGGACCCACGGGGATGCAGGGTAAATTGCACAAACACACTCACCAGCATAGCATCATCTACCTCCAGAGATTGAAACATGTTGGTAATAAAAGCAGATGATTATTCAAACATGAACTCACACACTCACTTTGAAAAATTGATGTCTACAAGAACATGCCACAATGATCTTGAAATGATCGTGACCTCAGGCCTCAGATCAGTGGAAAATAAGCACAAAACATACGTGTTTGGTGATGAAGATGTGAGGAGGACAAACTCAATAAGGTGTTCTTATGTGTTGCTAGGTTACGCTCCTGTCACAGGCATGTGTCATCCCGTACGGAGCTGCACTCTCAACCATGAAGATGGTTTCTCGTCTGCTTTTGTGGTGGCACATGAAACCGGCCATGTGTGAGTACCTGCTGCACCCCTACTTAACCTAATATCAGTGTGTCAAAAGCTATATCATATATTTTAATTTATTCAAAATGTAGTTCTGGGGCCAGTTGCATAAACATAGCCATTATGTTAAGACAGTGTCTTAAGATCTAGTTAGTATGAGGGGTAATCAGTCTTACTTTTTGGTATAAGATTTGGCCAATCTACATTTTTATGTAACTGATTTTAAAAAGTTAAGAACGGTCTTAAAGAAACAAAAATGTATGTCTAACTTGGAAGACTAGTCTTAGCGGTTCATGCAACCGGCCCCAGGCCTTTGAATCTTATTAGTAGAGCAGCAATCGGACAAATGACTTTCCACTTTTTGTATTGCTAATTAGTGTATTAGTAGTGGGGATTTTATAGTGACTCTTTCTGCAAGTTACACTGAAATGCCTTTAGGTGGCAAAAAGTGACTGTCTGTTAGTGAAACAGCAAATCATTGGATTGTTCACACCACAACCGATTAGTTTAAAACACTGATTAATTTAGAAATTAAACAAGTGACTGGCTTCATCCGAAACTGCATACTTCCCAACTATATTGTAGGTGAAAAGATTAGTATATGCAAATTTACAGTTTTCATAAAACAGTTGGCGAAAAAGTATCCGGATTACTTACTACTTCCACCGTGATTCTGAAATGTGCATCCGATGTTCATTTTACTGTCCCACGAGGCCATGGGAGAGTATTTGTGAATGACAGTGAAGTGATGCAACTGACGCTGGTTGGTCACATGACAATGACAACATGACGGAGGCAGGACGTCCAAATTACATTCATACTATACAGAACATACTTTTTTAACACTTGTGAAGTAATTACTTATTCAAAGAAAGTACCTACTCAGAAAGTGTACAATTTCAGATGCAGCCACTGTCTTATGAGTGAGTCATTGAGTTATTTGCTCAAACGATTTGTTCAAAAAAACAAATTCATTCAGGAACAAAGCAAAGCCTATAAAACTGACTCGTTGATTCCTTCACTCAACCAATTCATTTAAGAAAATGATTAGTCCAGGAACAAATTTATGCAATTCCATATGGTATCTTCCCTGACTAAAGTCTTTTCATAAATGTATTAAAATCTAAAAATGGCAAAATAAATTGTCCTCAAAAAATGTAAATTGTTTGTATATACAATAATATATGTACTATATGTGTGTGTTATAGGTTGGGAATGGAGCATGATGGGCAGGGGAACCGTTGTGGAGATGAGGTGCAAATGGGAAGCATAATGGCCCCACTGGTGCAGGCCGCTTTCCACCGGTTCCTCTGGTCCCGCTGCAGTCAACAGGAACTGAGCCGCTACCTGCAGTGAGTACTACATGTACATACACACCCAATCAACCAAAACTCTACTAATACAACTGTGGATTATATACTACCTCATTCTGCCTGTGTAGTTCATATGATTGTCTCCGTGATGACCCGTACGAGCACACGTGGGAGGAGCTTCCACAGCTGCCCGGGCTGCATTACTCTATGGACGAACAGTGTCGCTTTGACTTTGGGGCCGGATATATGATGTGCACAGCGGTGAGTCTTGAATTAACTGCCTCACAGGCCTTTTCATTCAAATAATGCATTATTTTTTATGAGATTGTAAAATCACTACGAGCATGTATAATTGACCATCAGCTTGCCATAACAATCACCATTTGTGGTCATTGGGTTCACCATAGATCGCCATGACCCAGTATTATGTGTTATACATGCTAATAATGCATTATGAATATACCACAGTATGTTGTGTTAAGTGACTGAGTTTTGATATCTGTACATGCTGAAGGGAAAAAGCTTAAAAGAACAGAATAGTGCACCAGAAAATGTTTTTGTCACTATTTCTCTCGCTCATGCTATTTCAAACTCATATGGCTTTCTTTCTTCCGTGGAACATAAAAGGAGGATTTTGAACAAAAAAAATCCATTCAGGCTTTACAAAGGACACAAAAACACCCTTAATATATCATAAAAGTGGTCCATATGACTTGATGTTATATGGATTTACACGAGGGTGAGAAAATGGTTATTTTAAACTTATTTTATTTTTGGGTGAACAAATCTTTTAGTGAACAAGAAGGACCAGGTTTTAAAATCCTTCATAGCAGATCAGCTGGTTTTATTTTATAGAGAAAAAATTCCAGGTTCCCAACAAAACACATTTTATAAACACCACATTTTAAAATGATGTCAACATCTATCTGAGAGAAAATGTGAGGCTAATTATATTGTTTGCGATTCTTTTTTGAGGAAATAAATATTTTTGAATAGAAAATGATCAGATAATCAAAACCAGATGGCATGAGTTTGAAATCACTTGATGTTGCTTTCACAAAACTGGATAAAAATGATTTCAAGAATCATTTCTGCTCAGAAAAAAAGAAATTCCAGCTGAACAGCACTGCTTGGACTGTACTTCACTGTCTTGTTAAACCATTCCCTTAGCTGCAAAAGGTGGGGCCATCAGGAGCCCAGGTAAGGTGTTCTCCTCAGTCGCAATGTGGCCTCTTTCGTTTGAACTTGGTTCAATTCAGATGGTCTTATTGTTAATCATTACATGTTATTGGTTGGTGTTGAACTCATTGTCATTTTGCAGTCATGTACACAGCGGGATACTAAACCCACAGTCGTCTTTTCCTTATTTTGGAATTTATTGGCACAGTTTTTTTAACAGCCTGTGTGACGTGAGGTTAAAGGAATGCTTGAGTTTAATACAAATGTAATCATTTAAATAATTAGGGCCCGAGCACCGATGGTGCGAGGACCCTCTTGGAATTGCTCTGTTTATTATTATTATTCTTCTCCGAAATTAATTGCATTTTTGAGGGCCTAAACATGCACTCACGAAAATTTGCACACGCGTCAGAAATGGCGAAAATTTACATCTGATATGGGTTTCAAAATTGGGCGGGGCAAAATGGCTCGATAGCGCCACCTATAAAGGTTCAACGGAGTGCGCCTCCTGCTACGTTTTACATAAGTGTACGAAATTCGGTACATGCATGTAATGACCCAATACCTACAAAAAAGTCTCTTGGAGCGTATCCCTAATTTTGACTTGTCCTTCAGTTTCTTAAAAAAAAAAAAAAATGTGTGTATTGAAATTGATGTCTATATACTACATGTGTACAATGAGCAAACTCAACAAACAGGAATTACATTAGTATAATGCATAACTGGAGGTCATCCACCCAGAACAGTTGTCTCACTGCTAAAAGGGTGATTTTGACAACTTTACATGTTTGCGTGTTTTTTACATAGTTTAGTGCTTCAGCGAAAACACGAGTGACACATTTCTGCTTGTAAACTCTCTGGAATGCCTTGCCCTAGACTTCAGTTGTAAAAACACTAATGTGAACACAATTTCTGAGGGACAAAATGATTTGCTGTGGTAATTGAAAGCATGCTACAGATTCTCTCAACAGAGCTCAAACTTTTTTTGAACATCCCTTTAATAAGTTAACCATGTCATTGCAACCTGGTGACTTTTCAGTGAGTTTTCTACAGTACATTCATCAGAAAAGATTTATTTGCTATTTAGCTTGGCACACTTTAAACAATCTTCAAACTGAGATAACACGAGCAGCCAGCTGGCTACTGCTGAAAACTGTGAGCCATTATTTTGCACTTAGTGTCTTGATGTGTTTGAAACGCTTGTTGGGTTTAGGATCCTGCTAAATGGAGTGTCATCATTAGTACCACAGCCAGAGATTCTGGTCCTGACGACTACGCCTCTCCAAGGGAGGGAAAAAAAGAGAGATTTTGCTTAGCATTTGAGGCCATATCACATCACTGCCTAGCATTCTGTTGTCTAACTGTGCTCTTGGTCAGAAGCTGTATCATAACTAAAACAGTTGTTCTTCATTGTTTTGTTTTGCCTGCATGAGATTGCTTTGTTACATAAATGTAACCTGCCCATTATTGAAAATGGTTCATACTGTTTCATCTTGCCTAAATAATTGTGACACGTGACATCGCTATTATATTATATTCAATTGCTGTCCATCGTGTCCGATGATGACTTCCTTCGAATTAGATTTCTCCACAGAGTCCTGTTATAATATTATATTATATTAAATTATTGAATAAAATACAATGTATATATTGTAAAAAACAAAGTGTAACACATTTTTGTAACACCTTTTAAAGGAAAACAATTCACAATTCATAAAAACAAACACATTTATTTATTATAGAGACACACTTTAATGGATGTTTTTTTCGATTATTGGAGATTTACAAGGCTATTTAAATAATATTTACACATCATCTTGTCTTTGGAAAGAACAGTTAACGACTCGGTTACTAACGTAACCTCGGTTCCCTGAGAGGAGGGAACGAGTATTGCGTAAGTAGCTTACGCTATGGGAAAACTCCTTTTCTCGAGAAATATTGAAGTCTTTATGTAAAACGCATTGCAGCTGCACAGCATACAGCAATGAGCGAGGCAGCTCGGTCATTGGCTGTGCTGCGGCAACTGCACGAACCTATGACGGGGGGACTCTGAACCCGCTTCCAATGAGCGTGCTTCGCGCCCGCGCGCGTCAGAGCCCGCCAAGATGGGCGTGGCCAAGGGCTATATATTGGGCGCCCCGTCGTCTGAGTTCTTTAGGTTCAATCGACTGAAGCGAACTGACCAAGCACAAGCACGGCAGCTTACGCAATACTCGTTCCCTCCTCTCAGGGAACCGAGGTTACGTTAGTAACGGAGTCATTCCCTTTCGAGAGGTTCCTCCTATTGCGTAAGTAGCTTACGCTATGGGAACTCCATGTAAAAAGCCGTGCGTGCTGACTTCGCTTTATTAAGCCGGAGGCAGATGCCTGAGCCTTTTAGCAAAGTAATTATCCAACGAGCCGGCCGAAGGCGGGCTTTATAAGGGACAATGTGGAACGGCCCAATGGGCGTCCAGAGAAAACACACAAGCACATTTTTATGTACTGATATGCATGAAAAACCCTCTAAGTCAGTCAGAGACGGACCCTATAAGGGAGGGGATAATGCTCAGCATGTACACACTCCAGCCTATGCATAGTTAGACCGACAGTATGTTGGAGTGCAATGAGGGGACCTGTAGGTTATAAAACCTGATAAATGTTGACGGTGAGGCCCAGCCTGCTGCCGCACAAATATCTTGAATGGGTATCCCACTCGACCACGCCCACGAGGAGGCCATGCCTCTCGTAGAGTGAGCTCTGATGCCCAAGGGGCACTGAAGGCCCTTGGCCTCATAAGCCAGCGCTATAGCATCAACTATCCAGCGCGATATTCTCTGCTTTGAAACAGCGAGACCTTTGGTGCGGCTGCCAAAGCATACGAACAATTGCTCTGTCTGTCTGAACAGGGCAGAACGTTCCAAATACACTCTGAGCGCCCTGACCGGGCAGAGTAAATTAGCGTCGCTTTCGTCTGCTGGAGACGATAGCGCGGCCAGAGATATCACCTGTGCTCTGAAGGGTGTAGAGAGCACCTTAGGAATATACCCGTGTTTTGGCCTGAGGACAACTCTGCTGTCGTTAGGTCCAAACTCCAGGCAGGTAGCGCTTGATGACAGCGCGTGCAGGTCGCCCACTCTCTTGACCGAGGCGAGAGCAAGCAAGAGAGCAGTTTTGAGCGAGAGCTGTTTAAGGTGCACAGTTCGGAGGGGTTCGAACGGGGCACTTTTGAGTGCGTCCAGGACCGTGGCCAGGTCCCAGATCGGCACTGAGGGGGGGCGTGGGGGATTTATCCTCCTGGCGCCCCTCAGGAAACGAACAACTAGGTAGTTTTTCCCTAGTGTGCGTCCTTCTACAGGGTCGTGTGAAGCCGCTATGGCAGCCACATATACTTTGAGCGTGGAGGGGGTGCGGCCTGCCTCCAACAGCTCTTGTAAGAAAACGAGCACACTCAGTACCTCGCATGTCTCAGGATTCTGGTTCCTGGATTCACACCAGTCACTGAACACCTTCCATTTCTGGGCATATAAGCGCCTCGTAGAGGGCGCTCTCACCTCAGTGATGGTTCTCAACACTCCACTGGGGAGGTTCCCGGGAACCCGTTGAGGGGCCATGCATAAAGGGCCCACAGATCGGGGCGGGGATGGAGGATCATCCCGTTGGCCTGCCTGAGGAGGTCTAGCCTCAGCGGAATCGGCCATGGGGCAGATTGCATCATCTGCATCAGTTCTGGAAACCACGTCTGGTTCTTCCAGAGTGGGGCTACCAGGAGCACTGCACATTTCTCCTCCCTGATCCGACTGATGACCTGAGGTAGCATCGCGACCGGAGGGAAGGCATACAGCGGGCGGCTCGGCCAGATTTGGGCGAGCGCGTCTGTGCTCTTTGAAAAGAAGAGAGGGCAGTGTGCATTTTCCTTGGAGGCAAAGAGGTCGACCTCTGCTCTGCCAAAGGTTTGCCATAACCACTGAACCGTCAGGGGGTGGAGAGACCATTCTCCTGGGAGAACTTTGTCTCTGGACAGCATGTCCGCTCCCTGGTTCAGAACACCTGGCACATGCGCTGCTCTCAGCGAGCGCAGGTTGCGCTGGGACCATAGGATGACTTCCCTGGCCATCGAGTGCAGGGAGCTCGACCTGAGTCCACCCTGGCGATTTATATACGAGACTACCGTCATGTTGTCCGTTCGGACCAGGACGTGCTCGTCCTTCAGGTACGGAAGCAGGGCTCTGAGAGCCAAAGCGACCGCTTTCAATTCCAGACAGTTTATATGTAGGCGCTTCTCCGGGTTTGATCACAAGCCGGAGACAGGCCTGCCCTCGTAAAGGGCCCCCCAACCTATTTTGGAGGCATCTGTCGTGATCATTTTTCTCCTTGTGTTCACGCCCAGACTCACACCGGACTGATACCAGTCGACAGCTTTCCAGGGCGTCAGGGCTTTTATGCAGCCGTGATTCGCTCTGATTAAAAAGTGGCCCGAGCGCCACGCGAGAGTGGGGACACGGCTTTTGAGCCAGCGTTGGAGAGGACGCATGTGCAACAATCCCAGCTGGAGTACAGCTGATGCCGAGGCCATGAGACCGAGGATCCTTTGAAATCGCTTGACGGGGGCGTGCGCCCCCGCTCTGAACGATGTTGCGCGGATAGTGAGCGCGCGCTCTGATGAGAGTCGCGCCGTCATCTGCAATGAGTCTAGCACTATTCCCAGAAAAGAAATATTCTGGCTGGGGGATAGCATGCTCTTTGCAAAATTGATTCTTAGACCCAGGCATTCTAGATGACTGATAATCCAAGACCTGTGTGTCACTAACTGGCACTCTGATTGTGCTAGGACTAGCCAATCGTCGAGATAATTCAGTATTCGCATTCCCCGCTGTCTCAGGGGGGAAAGTGCTGCATCCATGCATTTCGTAAATGTACGGGGTGCCAGTGACAGGCCGAATGGTAGTACTGTGTACTGGTATGACTGTCCCTCGAAAGCGAATCTCAGAAATGGCCTGTGATGAGGCGCTATCGGAATGTGAAAGTAAGCGTCTTTCAGATCCACAGATAGAAACCAATCCCCCGGGCGAACTTGCGCGAGGATATGCTTGGTTGTTAACATTCTGAACGAGCGAATCATTAAAGCTTTGTTCAGATGTCTGAGATCTAGAATGGGGCGGAGACGAGACGGGACGAGAAAATAGCGACTGTAAAAACCTGACTCGCTCATAGAGGGAGGGACTGTTTCTATAGCGCCCTTCTCTATACGTTTGAGCACCTCGGTGCGTAGAACATGTGAAACATCTTTTCTCACTTTCGTCTCGACCACCGCTGTGAAGCGGGGCGGTCTGCGAGCGAATTGAAGCGAGTAACCCTGTTTTATTATGTTCAGAACCCATTTCGGCATGCCGGGGATATTTTCCCAAGCTTTCGCTCGCACAGATATGGGCTGAATGCTGGCTGAGGGCGTGTCGTAGTGACGTATGGCTCCCGCCGGCAAATCCCCCTGTGCTAATACTGAGCTTACAGCTCTCAGAGGCGCGGGTGCGCGCTGAGCAGCTTTGTTGAATGCCGAGTGCAGGGGTGCGTGTGAGATTACAGGCAGGCTCGCCACATCCGTAATGCTCAGTGTGAGTTGGGGAAATGTTTAAGACTGTATGGACAGTGCTTATGGGTGGGGGTGCATAGACTGTGGTAGGCACGCGCACCACTTTCATAAAACTTCCCGCTCATGGCGGGAGGTTTTTGGCCATATAAACAGTGTTTGTGAGTTGGGGTGCGTGCATAACAGCGGGCACACGCGCTACTCTTATAGAATTTCCCGCTTTTACTGGGGAAGTGTTTATAACTGTGGGAACAGTGCTTATGTGTAGTGGTGCATACATGACAGTGGGCACACAATCTACATTTATGGGGCGTCCAGCCTGAGCTGGGAAAGCATTTGGCACTGCTTTGACAGTTTTGATATGTGGGAATGCGCACTTTAGTGTGGACACGTGACCCCTTAATGACACAGGCAGAAAATGGCTCTTTATGTGATTTCTGTGTGTCGCCGTAAAAGCGGCGTTTGTTTGCAGGTGAGCGAGCTGTGCGGCTGGCCCTTTGGGTGCTGTACAGACATTTTCAGCCGCCTGTAAGGGGACTGGGTAATGCTTTAAACGCTTTGGAGAGAGCGGTCCGGCTTTTGCGAGACACGCGCTCTCTCTCTTTCTCCCTGTAGCTAGGAAGACTTACGAGGCTCTGGGTTCAGCACAATCTTGGGCCGAGGTCCCCGTCGCTCGGGCGGTTGCTTCCTGTTGGCAGAGCGCGAGCGGCGTCGGAAGTCAGTTTCAGGTCTGGGCTGAGAGACGGGAGGTGCCGTCTTGACTCGCTGCTGCTGAGGCGGCTTTTGGCGGCTCTGCGATGAGCTAGATCGCTTGGACAGGAAGTGACGCATAGCCTGCGAATCCTTACGGGCTTCGGTGAAGCGCTCAGCGAACTCCTTCACCGCTGGTCCGAACAGGCCGCTTTGGGAGATAGGCGCGTCGAGGAACGACGCCTTATCTGCATCCTTCATCTCTGTTAGCGTCAGCCACAGATGGCGCTTAAGGACAGTCAGGTTAGCCATGGCACGGCCGATGGATTGGGCGGTGGCTTTTGTGGCTCGCAGTGCTATGTCGGTGGCGCTGCGCAGATCCTTGAATGCCTCAGGATCAGGTCCAGACTCGTCCATGGTGCGGAGAAGTTTGGCTTGAAACACTTGGAGGACAGCCATTGAGTGAAGCGCTGACGCAGCGTATGCGCGACCGGCGAGAGCTGAAGTAGTTTGGCAAGGCTTCGAGGGATGAGAAGCTCTGGCTTTCCATCCAGCGGTGGAGGGTGGGCACAGGTGATTGGCCACAGCCTCCTCGAGGGGCGGAGTCCCCTCGTAGCCTCTTTCTTTCGCGCCGTCCACAGAGGAGAGCGATGAAGAGAAAGAAGGCTTCAGGCGAGCGGAGTGCGGGGCTTTCCACGACTTCGTGAGTTCGTCGTGAACTTCCGGGAAGTAAGGGGAGGGCCTTTGCCGAGGAGCCTGCCGGCGCCCCTGCAGGAACCACTCGTCCAGTCGGCTGCGGGCGGGTTCTTCCGGGGAAGACCAATCGAGCCCGAGGTCTTCCACGGCCTTAGACAGGATGCGGACGATCTCCGAGTCCATGCTGGAGCCCACGCTCGTGCCCGCTAACGTCGATGGTGCGGGGTCGAAGGACGAGCCCGGCCAGTCGTCGGATGCAGCATCAAAGGAAAGGCTGTCATCCTTTTCATCGTCATCCCCTGACGTGCCAAACGAGACGAGACCCATCGCTCTGCTGGAGGGGTGCTGGTCCGCCTGTGTGAACTGGACTGGCGGCGGGGAGTCTTCGGGTGGTGGTGAAGCACGTGGGGATTGGCCCGGCGTGACGTCACTGCAAACCACGTGCTCTGGCGGCCTCTGTGAGCGGCGCTTCTTCTTGCGCGGCTCGACCAGAGGGGATGGAAGCACGGTGGTGGTGGGCTCTTTCGCGGCAAAAGCGGCGAAGCGAGCGCGCAGCTCGGTGAGGCCCAGGGCGTCACACTCGGGGCATCCGCCTCGAGTAAGGGCAGCCTCTGCGTGGTCCGGTCCCAGGCAGTGGGCGCAAATGATGTGACGATCCCCGTCCTGAAGAGGGCCTCGACACGAGGCGCAGGAAGGCATTTGAAACAACGCCCAGTTAATTTGCTCTTTTAGAAAAGTGTCGCGGGGGCGAACACTGGTAGCTTTGAAAGGATATAGGTGATGCACGCCGGATGGCTTAGCAGAAGGCGATCGAAGGCGGCTGAAGGCGCCGGTGTCCTCGTAGCAGTCCTGCTGTAGGCTTGTCGACGGCGGCGGCGAAAAGACTCCAAAAATCCCGAGGATCCAGCGAAGAGAAGGTCTTTGCTGAAGGAGATTAAATCTGAAGAACTCAGACGACGGGGCGCCCAATATATAGCCCTTGGCCACACCCATATTGGCGGGCTCTGACGCGCGCGGGCGCGAAGCACGCTCATTGGAAGCGGGTTCAGAGTCGCCCCGTCATAGGTTCGTGCAGTTGCCGCAGCACAGCCAATGACCGAGCTGCCTCGCTCATTGCTGTATGCTGTGCAGCTGCAATGCGTTTTACATAAAGACTTCAATATTTCTCGAGAAGAGGAGTTTTCCCATAGCGTAAGCTACTTACGCAATAGGAGGAACCTCTCGAAAGGGAACTATATTTACCCAATCTGACATCCTTCCGATTGATCCTAGCCTTGTGACCATCTGACCAGCTGCGTCTTGTTGTAAGATTTCTCTCATTCAGAGTGTGTGTGAGGTTGAGAATTAATTTTCTTCTTTTTGTTCCTCTATTTCTCAGTATCGCACCTTTGACCCCTGTAAGCAGCTTTGGTGCGCTCACCCAGACAACCCCTTCTTTTGCAAGACCAAAAAAGGGCCGCCCATTGATGGTACCACATGCGGAGAAGGGAAGGTACCGCCACTCAGCCTTTAATGCAAATATGTCCTGATGCGTTAGACTCACTCGCTTCCTCTGTGTTTATGTGTTTTGCTTTGTTCTCTTCCTCTCTCAGCACTGTTTTAAAGGCCACTGTATGTGGCTGACTCCAGACATCATAAAACAGGATGGAGGCTGGGGTATATGGAGTGAGTTTGGTGCCTGCTCTCGCCCCTGTGGAAGAGGACTACAGTTTCGCACCCGAGCTTGTGACAATCCATAGTGTGTATCTATCTATCTATCTATCTATCTATCTATCTATCTATCTATCTATCTATCTATCTATCTATCTATCTATCTATCTATCTATCTATCTATCTATCTATCTATCTATCTATCTATCTCACATATAACTAATAATTTTTTCCAATTCCTTTAACCTCCTCCAGTCCAGCTAATGGTGGACGTTCTTGCGCCGGTCCAAGCTTTCAGTTCCAGATGTGTAATACACATGAGTGTAAAGACCTGTACCATGACTACAGAGCCGAGCAATGTAGCATGATGGACAACAAGTTTGAGTACCAGAACACCTGGCACCAATGGCTGCCTTATGAACACCCTGACCGTAAGTAACACGGCAGATTTCACAGACTGAGTTGACAACAGATACTGAGCTACAAAACAACTAGACAGCATTGGCCACAAATACTACATCAAACAGCCACAGAAAATTTTAAAATAACAGGTTTAAATAAAAAAGTACCCTAAAACAGTACAATACAATACACCCACCTTGAAATCTTAAGGTACTAAATATATACTTTTAATGTACTAATACTAACCCTTTATGGATGGGTGAGGTAAAGTACAAATATGTACTTTTGAGGCCTAGTGTCAAGCTGTTTTTTTTCTGAAAGTGTATTTCTGAACAATAAGCAAAGGCCAAATAGAAAAAAAAAATAACACTATGTAATCTATTGCTGGAATTTAAAAAAAAAATTTTTTTTTATATTTTATATAATTTCATTTTAATATCTTAAATCATTTAAATTGTACATTTTATTCAAATAGTTCCTAACTCCTGTCCTACACAATCAAGATTAGTTTGTCAACAAGGCTGATGTAATCCATCTCTCCACACAGCTGCTCTCACTTACACGGTGGGCACTTTTTTCCACGTGTACTTCTACACCGTTCATGACATCACTGAAAACATGAAATCCCTCCTGAGTCATTAGCTCTATGGAGATCCCCCTTAGTTTTATGATCAACACAAGTACATTCAAAGTAATGCTCATGTAAAGAGGAACTTTTTGAGCCTTTTCTTACTGTCCGGTCAATTATGACTGAACGCAGAATAATTCACACAAGAATGTTTGTGGTTTATGTCTCATATCGTAAAATGGGCTTGGATACCTTTAAAAAGATGAGATAATTCTTTTTACATTATGTTTTTTAAATCTTGCACTCAAGAGAATTGTACTCTTTTGGCCTTGATTTGTTGAGTTGTCTTGCTTTTTGATCAGGAAGATATACTTTTGTTTTTTCCGCACAGAGTGCAAGTAAATTGTTTTAAATTGCTAGGATATCCCATCAGTCATCACATTGTTCATGTATAACTTTTGGTCTTTATGGGAAATTGAGCTGGACTTAGAATGTACTTCTGGAACAGAAGTGTCAAGTTTTGGGATTGTACACGCTGATGCTGGGAATCCGTCTGAGATGATATAATGTACAATGCATTTATAGACCACGTAAAGACTACCTGGAGACCATTCACACTTAGTCAAGGTTTTTTTCTTTTTCTTTTTGTATAAACCATCGAATAACATGATCTAAGTCTATCCTCTGTTGAACCAAGATGTACTAGTTGTGGAAAAGATTTTCTAAGGATTTTGTAAATTTTGTAACTATTAAATGTGATTAAATTTATTGCAATTTTTCTTTTAAGAATTCAAGCTCTTCTCAATCCTTGTTACTGTAATATGCACTTGATCTTTTTGTCGTATCTCAATCCATCTCTCAAGGATCTCTCTTGTCTTGTTTTCCTTAGCTAAGCAACGCTGCAAATTGTACTGTCAATCCAAAGAGACGCGAGCTGGAGTCAACATGCAGACTCAGGTGGAAGATGGAACACGCTGCTCTTACAAAGATCCCTACAGTGTGTGTGTGTACGGAGACTGTGAGGTGAATAACTGCGTGTACCTCTTTTAAATGTGTGTGCTTAGTTTCCTTTTGCTTATGGTGTCTCTCTCCCTTCAGAAAGTGGGCTGTGATAATGTGGTTGGATCAGCTCTGCAGGAAGATAAGTGCGGCGTCTGCGGGGGAGATGGAACCAAGTGCAAGACTCACAAATTTAACTTTACCTTTGTAGAGAAGAAAGGTACGTCTCCTCAGCACACATGTAAGCTCGGTCCCAAAACCTTGCGGAGGCCACCGTTTAAGGCATCATAGGCTTATAGTCCAGATACAATGGCTCTTCAAAACTAGACATAACTATGCTGCCTCCTAAGATACTTTTTGGCCAAATCCTTTCCCAAAGGCAATACCATAATGCAGTGTTTCCCAAACGCTGGGTACTTGAACCCCTGGGGGTTTGCGAGCCTTTTATTACTATCATGTCAATTATGACTGAACACAGATTCATTCTCTGAGTTTATACCATAAAATGGGCTTGGATACCTTTGATTAGATGAGGTAAGCATTTTTACATAGTTTTTCATCTTACATTCAAGAGAAATTTACAAAATGCAATACTATATCTCAGGGTTTCCCAAATGCAGGTTTCTCCAACCCCTGGGGGTTTGTGAGTGAAATGCAGGGGGTTTATGAGTTGATGAAAAGTTAATAATGAATTAAATGTAACATTAAAATAGGCAAATGGGGCTGCACAATTAATTTAAAAAATATTAAAACGTAAAGTGCGATTATCAAATCCAAAGCTGCTCCAACCACAAAGGAGGAGTTGACAAGTTAAAAGGGGTCTTATCATGCTTTTTTACATTTTCAACTTTCTTTAGTGTTTAATGTTGCTGTTTGAGTATAAAAATGTCTGGAAAGTTACAAAGCATATAATAACTATAAGTAACTCTATATATACTTACTCTATATAAGTAAACACTGTTTCTTATCTCCCTGAAACGCCTCGATTGTAGTCTTTAGTTTTCTTCCGGGAATGAACATGTCACAATACTCTTCATTTAAATAATTCCCCACCAAAACATATTACGTAAAAAAAGGATGGGCCTGGTTGAGTTAGTAATGTTGAAACTCGTGGTCATGATAAGGGACGTGACATTTCTGAAACACACCCGAATCGGTTGACCAATTACAACACAGTGGTCCAGCCGACCAATCAGAGCACATTGAGCTTTTCGGAAGGAGGGGCTTCATAGAAAACTGAACTAAACAGTGCGTTACTGACAGACTGGTAAGAGAGGTGCTGCAACAAATTAAAAAAATTTTTTTTTTTTTTTTTTTTTACATTCAAGCATGAAAACCTATTCTAGTTGACCCCAAAAACAAAATCAAGACTTTAAAAAGAATATAATAGGTCCCCTTTAAGACATAAATATTTGTATTGTAACTTTGTTAGTTGGTTCTGGTAAAGAGTAAACCCAAGTTTGAACAACCTTAAAAGTAACTATTTCCATTAGCAGTAGATTATTTTTTCCTGGATGCCTCAGCAGTAGCAATATAAGACATTTCCATAAGAAATTAAATCTCATATCAGTTGAAAATATATAAATAATCACAATATAATTCCTTAGCCTGACTACTCCAGACTTCGTATTTCCGCTCAATTTCAGTTCGCTTCTGTACTCAGTCTGAGATAGCGACCTGTCTCTCAGTTTTCCTCTGAAAAGTATTAAATAAAAATAGTTTAGTCTACCAATTTGCAATTTGGGGTCACTTTCATTCCATCCCTTTTTTATGTTTATTGGAGTATTGTTGGAGAGTAATAGTGGTAGTAATATTGATTTGAAAATGTTTTGCATTTGGTTTAGGTGTCATTAAGGTGCTTGAAGTTCCCAGAGGGGCGAGACATCTCTTTATCCAGGAACTTAATGGGACTAATCACATTTTAGGTAAAGCCTGATCTCTCCCTGTAGTTTCTCAAACAGTAAGCACTCAAGTGGTCACTATTTTTGCTTAATTGGTGCTCTCTCTCTTGATTTTTTTCGCTGAATAGCTGTCAGGAATAAAGCGTCAGGTGATTTCTTTCTCAACGCACATGGAGACTACCCAGAGACGCGCTCAGTTATTGAAAAAGGTCTGGAATGGGAGTATGAGAATAAAAACAACAAGGACACCATTCAAACTAATGGCCCCCTAAAAAACGATGTGGTTGTCATGGTAATCTCTCATGGGAATTCACACACACATGAATGGACACACACTCTTTTAACTTGTTTTAACTGATTGTCTTTATTTGTGCTCTAGATCCGAATGCATGGATCGACCAAAGTGAAGGTGTCGATCAAATACATCACTGACAATGACAGACCGAGTGACAGTGCCAATGAGAATAACATGGTCCCTGATTATGCAGTGCCATATTCCTGGGTGGTGAAGAGATGGGCACCTTGTTCCAAGACCTGTGGAGAAGGTAGTTCACTTTTATGTAGATACAGGCAGATGAGTTTCCCCCACATCTCTAATAAGTTTCTACTATAACTGACCCTTTGCTAAGTCCCTCCTTAAAACATAACTGACCGATCCTACCTTACCAACTGTTGCTGTCCACCATATTATCAAGCTTGCAACCGTAACTAAAAGGGGGCAGAGCTGAAAGAGTACTGCTGTGATGATGTATTTTTTTGTATTTGTATTTGATGATGAATGTATTGACCAACCCGGAAGTTAGCATCACCCTGGATCCCTCGACAAAACCCCAATACAATAAGGGTTTTTCCATTGGCTTTTAGATTACTGCATAAAATAAGTTCTGTGACCAATAAAAGTTCTTACATGTTTTGCTCATTATGAAAATCTTCACAAATTAACATTGTTATGATTTTTAAAGCCTAAATACAATCACAAAAAAGTAAATAGCTTAACGAAGGCTATAAACAAACTACACCAAGAACTTCAACTTCACAATCACTAAGTAACTCCTTCATTCTTTATTTAAAAAAATATTGTCTCTAATAGTTTGAGTTGCAAGAGCGCGATTATAAACATAATGAGTGAAAGCGGACTAGTGAGTAGATGAGTTTACCTGTTCAGCATGATGACGTTTAATTCCCCTGACAACCTCTGTAGTCTCATTTAGCCTCTAGTTAGCAACTGCGTTTTTCAAGACAAGTAAAAATAAAAGCTTTAAAAAAGTCACAAGGGGGTATTACTGATGCATTTTATGTCATAGAAAAAAAGTGAAACTGTCTTGAGCTTGTGTTATCTGCAGACCTTTTTTTAAAATCCAGTAGATCCAGGTCCAGTAAAGTGTTAGCTTACATAATTATTATTTTTTTTATTTTCATGTTTTTATGATTCACTACCTTTAGTATTTGTTTGTATTTTTACATAATTTTGTAATTGTTTTTCCAAAAAATGTAACCTGACTCCCCATTTAAAATAATATTTAGTCCAATAGAATGTTAGCATACATTATTTTAATTATATTATTGTGAATTTCTCTTTTCATGTTCATGAATGTTTCATTGACTTTCTTATGGACAGGCACTCAGGTGACGCGTTATGGCTGCCGCAAAAACACAGAGATGAGGATGGTTCATCGCAAATTCTGTGAGAAAATCAAGTCGCCTCCGTCCCTAATTAGAAACTGTTGCCTGAGAGAGTGTGCTATGTGAGTTTGTGCACCAAAATAACTTTTATTTCCAAATCAGAGATGTGTATTGTTATAAGAGTTCAAAAGGGAATCCAGCAACATGTGTGGTAAGGAAAACTTTAATAGTAACTAATAGACACATTTAGTCATCAAACAACAAGGCCATTTTAAAAGTCATACAATAAACATTTGTTACAGTATATGAGTTACAAGGATAATTCTAGTTATTATTTTCTATTCACATTTTCATTTTTGGGAGTGACACAAGTGGCTTAATCAGAACATGTTTTTGAAGTAAAAAGGTATTTTTTTTATCTTTACTTGTTACTGCTATTGTTCTAACTGCTGTTATCATCACAATTGACACCTTTTAGGGCTTTTCACACTTGAAATAGTTAACCCTGGCTCATTCTATAAGTCCTTATTTGCATATTTGCGTTGTGTCAGTGCTAACGTTACTTACTGGACAAACGTAGTACATGACCTGTTTACATAAAGGCTAGCATTCCACGTCCTCATATTAAACATTGCTGACTGTAATATAAATTTTTTTCTGAGTGAACTTTTCGAACCATAAAGGTAAGAATGAAACGGTCTCTTCTTCACTCCAATTGTCGCGTTTTCCTTTGCCGTTTGACATTTTTCCTATCATATGCAGAAACGACTGTTTATATACATAGCCCGGTGTTTCCATGACTCTGCCCAAAGCACGTGAATATAAGGCACGCGGTTGTCGGTTGCTAAGCATCTAGTTGTAACGTTCTAACATCACATCGTTTCACACTGTAAAAAGCACATTCGGTCAATTATCATTTTCTGTTAAAGCGATACAAAACTGCAATTCACTGCCCACTACAATAAAAAATATACATACGTATTCCACTTTTACTATACATCTTAAAAACTGGCTGTCTGAGAATTACAGCTGCACACACTAACTTGACAGATGTGTTGTGTATTTGATGTGACATGACTCATGCTGTTGCCACTTGGTCTCTGCTGCCTGCCTCAATGTTATGTCCAGTATGTGCCTTAATGTGGCCTCTGTGTGAATATTGTGTCGTGTTGTATTGTTTTACTGCATGAATTGTTGCTGTGCCTTTGTAATCTGTGTCTGCTTGTTTATTTGTTTGAATTGTGTGTCACACGTTTAGTATGTCTGTCCCATTTTGATAAGTCCTGCTGTAAATATAATTGTAATGTATTTTATTGATGTATGCCTATTGACAACTGGCCGGGGACTACAGCTGGAAATTAGCCATAGAGGCTAAAGCTGCTCTTTTTCTTTCAAAAAGGGACTGTCCACGTTATTAAAAACTAATAAACTAAACTAAACTAAACCCCTTTTTCTAAATTACAAGTGTAAAATACTCCTTTACCCAGTATTAAAAGCGGTGTTTGGAACAACTATAACCCTGTGTAAAGCTCAGTGTGAAAAGCCTATTTGTTTTTTAATCATCACTACACGGGACGCTACACAGAAATCAACATTTATCAAAAATTTAGCATTTGATTATGTGATACATTGTTTTCTTGTGATTTAATGTACTGTAGAATCCAGAACGGCTTCTAAAGAAATAACCAATACAATTTGTAATGCAAAAAGTAAAACCACAAAGAAGTAACACATTACTTGTATAGCCAGCATTCCCTTGCACTACACATATTGTACATGTTGTGGTCTAATTTTCTGCAACTATAGTCTATGTCCAGTAGATGTCAGTGTAATACTGTTGTATCTTGCATCACACATGAATAAACCGTAACTGTGTGCTTGATTTGATGTATTTAGCTGGGTGGCTGGAGAGTGGGGTGAATGCAGTAAGTCTTGTGGGAAGACTGGCACTCAGACACGCTCTGTACGCTGCCTCCAACCTCTGGGCGACGACAAGTACAAACCCATCCGCAGTCGTTACTGCAGCGACGAGCGCCCAGAATCCCGCAGAGACTGCAATCGCAACCTGTGCCCTGCTGAGTGGAGGCTTGGCCCCTGGTCACAGGTACGGTCATGAAAATGCTTTGTTTTTCTTATCAGTATAGATCTGAGCGCTGGATTAGTTTGACATTTTGTTTGTGTGTGTGCTGTTATAGTGCTCAGTGACGTGTGGTAATGGCACGCAGGAGAGGCAGGTGCTTTGCCACACCCGTGACAACACCATTGGGCTCTGTCTGGACTCCAAGCCAGCTGCATTAAGACCCTGCAGAATGGATCCCTGCCCAAGTGCGTATTCAATTTTGTGATCACACTTTCTGAATTAACAACCCAAACAGATCAGTACATTCATAATTTAAAAGTAACTGTAAATTGATGTACTCAAACAAGATATTAGAGTTGAAAAACATGTAGGACTGGACCTAATATACTTTGGGAATTGACTGAATTGTTTAAAGTGGGCGTAGCCACATAACACACCAGATTGGATCCAGATGGTTGGTGGGAGGGGTTAAAAGTAATCCTTACAACTTGAACATCCATGCCACATATTCAAGATGTGGGTGTATATAACTGGTTACATTTTACAATAAAGTTCGTATTATTATATACTGCTGTTCAAAAGTTTGGAATCAGTAAGATTTTTTTTAATTTATGTTTTTGACTTTAGGAAGGTTCTTACTGTATGCTCACCAAGGCTGCATTAATAAAAACATACAGTAAAAACAGTAATATTGTGAAATTTTCTTACCATTTAAAATATTTTCTTTTTGAACATATGTTAAAATGTAATTTATCCCTGTGAGGGCAAAGCTGAATTTTCAGCATCATTACTCCAGTCTTCAGTGTCACATGATCCTTCACAAATCATTCTAATATGCTGATTTGATGCTTAAGAAGCATTTCTTATCAATTATCATTGTTGTGCTACTTAATGTTTTGGTGGAAACCATGATACAATTTTTGTAGGATTTTTTGGTGAATATAAAGTTCAAATAAACAGAATTAATTTGAAATAGAAATCTTTTGTAACATTCTAATTGTTTTTATCGTCACTTGCTTACAAAAATCTTACTGACCCTGACAATGAACAATAGTGTATTTCTAAATTGCTAACATGAACCTAGATTATTAAATCCTGTAAAAATGGTTCATTTTTAGTTAATTATACCTAATGCATTAACTAATGTTAACAAATGTAAACCTTATTGTAATGTGTTATCACATGTTTTAGGCTAAAAAAAATGCATAATTGAGTTACATAACCCGTTTGTAGAGAAAACCTTGTAAAATATTACACTTTCAAAATAATAGCATTGCATATTTCACAGTTTGGTTGTGACGAAACATTTATCAGTACAGTTTTTATCCTTATAAGTCATCTTCCGAGTGCTAGCCTATTAATATTGCCTATTAATGTTATTAATAAAAGTGAATGCTTGCTTATTAATGTTATTAATAAAAGTTGTTTTTTCTGTACTGGTTTTGTGCAGAAATAACAGACTAATTCATGACATTAACAAATGCTCTAATATAGCTGATGAGTTTTTTCTTGCTTTCTCTCTCTCCGTCTCCCGGGCTTTCTCCTTCCCGATCCCACTCCCTCCTCTTCCCACATGCAACAGCGAGCACTTCCGACTTCAACAAGCACGGCAACTTCCTGATACAGTGGTTGTCGCGTCACGACCCCAAATACCCCTTGCAGAGGATGTCAAGTAAATCGTCTCTCACCAGCCACGTTGTCGCTCTGCGCTGTCTCACCTCTCTGAGCTGGACCTTCCCTCTGTCACTCTGCCTGGCTTTACAAGGCAAACTCCCCTGACTGCCTCCCTCTTCCGAGGCTTGCACGCTTCTCTTTTTCCTGGGTGGTGGTCCTCTTTTACGGGGCGTTTCCGATAGGGGGAGGTTTCTCTGTTTCTCTCTCTCTCTGTCTCTCGCTCTATCTCTCTCTCCTTTGTGGAGCTCTGTGTTGTGAACGCTGGCCAGTAAGAAATTGTTGACAAAACAAAACATGTAAAAGATTTGGGGGATGTTTGATAAAGAAGGGGCTTTGTGGTTGGACGGGCAGCTTGCGGAGCTAATGATTGCGCTGAGGTTTCCGCAGGGGCGACGCGTTTGTTTGAATCACTGCCCTCTGCAAGCTGTTTCTATATGGCTCACGCTCTCGAGGCGGACGCTGATTTACAGAGGCCCCGCCTGAGCTGCAGGTGTGAAGGGGAAAAAAATAAACATGAAAAGTGGCTAAAAGATTTAAAAAAAGGAAAACTAAAGAAAAAAAAATCACAAAAAAAATTAAAGCTTTATTGTGAATGTGAACTTGTCACAATGAGGAAATCTTTGCTAAGTGCTCATTCCACATCCTAGTTCATTCTCGAAAACCGATGGGACAAAAACAAACACTCAAACAAGTTACGATGTTAACATGGGATGTACTGTTGAACCGCCATCATACGTGTTGGTGGCTGATGGTGAACATGAGGTGGAACTTGCTAAACAGGGTCGCTTTACTACACACGTTTGAATGCCATAACCACCTCATCCTCCATCCTCTCTTTGACTGTTAACAAATTCAATAAATGCAGCTTATTTGTGCTTGCAGACTTTAAACAAACATATAAATATATTTGTATTTATATATAAATCTATATGGGTACCAATAATATGAAATATTAATAATTTGTTTTACCATGAATAAGCTGTAGCTTATTAGCCTAACATTTTGACTGCTATTGATCGCTTTAATTCTTGACTGTTACGTGTATTTTTTTATTGATTTTACATAAATACAGAACTATTGCTATTTAATAACAGAAGTTAAGTGTTTCGGGGAAATGGGAAGACCTATATTATGCAGGACTCGCTCAGCCAGTTGCCTCTTTGTTTTTTGTTGTTGTTGTTGTTTTTTCAGAGAGAAGTGGTTTCATTTAAACGGATTCATCCTGAACTATTAAATATCTCCACGTGGTGATGAGAGTGGCGTGTGTTTTCGTCATGCCTTCGTGTGTGCGAGTGTTTCCGACACGAGTGTGTGTGCGTGTACGTCTGCCAGCATGTGTTTTAACCAGTGGCCATACGAAAGACAAACGACACATAAATATACCTCATGAACTTTCATCCACATCTGAGCTCATTCTTTTCGGGGGCGGGAAAGGGGAGACATAGAGCGTAAGAACAATGCCTTACACTACAATTGAATGTATCGGCATTTATCTGTGAAAGTGATGGCTTAGCGCACAGAAACCAGAGGCAGCTTCAAACAAAACCTGAAATAGAACCAACTGATCAACCAATCGTCACACGAATCCGAAAACAGTGGCTAACCCATTGGATATGGAGAGCGTTTTAATGGAAACCTCCACTCAGCATCTCTTTATCACTTCAGACGTGTCATTGTATTGTGAAACACATTTCTGTTGTGACTATGTAGCGAGCTATCCGAATTTTCATGCTCAAAGCCGTGAAGAAAACACTAGGAAAAGCCAGACCTTGCAGTGAGATACTGTAAATAAACATAGGTGTTTACTGTATTTATAACAACATTTATGACTGTTATCTCCTTACTTATAAGAAAAAAAATGCTAATATTATATATACTATGAGTAACTGTCATGTTACTTCACTGGCCTAACTGCGTCTTGGCTGGCTGTTGTGGGGGATATGTCTGGGGAACATTCAGATGGACTTACGTGCACTGCGTCTATATGCACTTTGATTTATCAGGGAAACTTTATTAATGTTTTGTAAATGTTGAATATATGACACTTGTATGTGCCATGCCAGTTTTTACATCATCATGGAAATCCTGTATTTTATTTAACTAATGACCTATTTATTTATTTACCTGTTCATCTGAATTACCAATGGATTAATTGTTCTCAAAGTAATCAAGTGTTTAACCAAAGTTACTGTGACATTGTACCTTTCAATACAGTTTATTTATTTTTCTGAAGAAGATAACTCTATCTGTATGTTTAAAGGGGGGTGGGAGTGCATTTCATTGTTTCAGTTTCTGTCATGATCAACTGCAAAAGTAGGAATAATAAAAATAAAAAAACGTGTTATAGAAACAGAAATCTTCTCTTCTGGCTTTTCCCGGTCTGTGTTGGTGCTCTGCTTTCTGTCTATTTCTCTGAAAGTGGCATTTTTCCATTTACTGTAAGGTACACTACAGAACATTGCACTCTATCACTATTTGTGGTTGGATGTAAATTTGTGGAGTTAATTTACTTGTTCTTTTTTTTTGTAAATGTCAGTTGTGCTGCAAATATAAATCACAATTGTAGGCTTGTCATAGTAAATTGGGTAAGGCAATAATTCTTATTTTTGTGATGTATTTGCACAATACACAATTTTGCTCAATTGAAAACCTTTTGTTGTGCACCTTTGATGTCATTAAGTTGAATTATGTATATATCTGCATCATATTGACTACTACCACACTCAGTAGATATCAATTGAAAATCACTGACGACCACCAATTTTTGGAGGATATTGCAAAATATTTTATCCAATGGATAAATAAACAAATCTAATCAGTTTTCAGAAGGATAAACAACCACATTTATAGTCCATAAATAATCACATTCACAAGGGAAGAAAAACTGCTTGTTAACTAATCATTCATCCTAACATGTTTAGTCCTCTAGTTTGCATCTACATCCCTATCTTCACAGATTTGCTTAATGGTCAGTCCATAACTTCTTTTCTGCATTTGCTTTAACTTGTGATTCTCTCAAGATTTCCCCACTTCTGCTTTTTTTTTGCTCAAACACATTTGTCAAAAGCACGGAACAAGCTTAGAATGCATGTTTTATCTATTAGCTTCACATATAGTCATTAAAGGGTTAGTTCACCCAAAAATGTCAAATGCTGTCAGTAATTACTCACCCGTATGTTGTTCCAACCTCGTAAGACTTTCGTTCATCTTCGGAACACAAATTAAGATATTTTTGATTAAATCTGAGAGCTGGATCACTCCTCCATAGGCTTCTCTGTAATTGAAACTTGCTGGTCCAGAAAGTTAATAAAGACAATGTTTAAAATAGTCCAAGTGACTACAGTGGCTCAACCATAAGTTTATCAAGCGACGAGAATACCTTTTGTGCGCAAAAAAAACAAACAAAATAACGACTTTATTAAACTATTATTTTTCTTCTGTGTTGGCCTCTGACGCGAGTTCACGTAGTGTAACAGCGCAGCGCTTCTGGGTTGTACGTCAGAACGTAGGCTCACTATTGGCCAGCATCACATGCATTTTTGTGTGAACTAACCCTTAAAGATCTTCTATATGTAACCTATTTGTATTTTAGTTTGTTGATACAGTATGATTTCAGTGTACATGCATATGTCTCATGTCCCTCTCCTGTTTTGCAGGACTGCGTTGTCACAGTGACCGTTCTGCGTTCTGTCGCATGGAGGCGCTGCAGCAATATTGTTCCCTTCCAGGCTTCCAGCGCATGTGCTGCAAGTCCTGCAAGGTTGACAATTCCACAAAGATCACTGTGATCAAAAGTAGGCCACCATCCAAATCAGAAACAACCTCTAAAGGACGATCCACCATAAGTCCCACACGCACAGAGTCCACCACAGCAGCCTTTCTGCCATCTACAGATGGGAAAAGTGCCACTTCTGTGAGCACTTCTTGGTTATATACGGCCTTAGCAACATCATCTGATACTCACGGATACACGACAATGCCCGTTTATCCGTACACTACAACTCCTATCTTTAAGCATGCTACTCCAGATTTCCTTCCAGAACAGAGCACATATTTTGTCATTACTACACCAACTAGGAACACATCTGCACCTAGAAAAGACATGGTAAACAGCACAGAATTACCTGCTAGTACTGTTATCCCCATCATTTTCAGTGATGTGAATGACGCCACCCTCATTCCCAGCACCACCGTCAAGTTTGAAGAGTTTAATGGGAGCAGTGGTGCACCAAATGTGGACAACGGTGTGGTATTGCAGTCAACAACAGAATATGGTGTGAATAAAAACGAATTAACAATCTCAGGCACCAAATTACCTCTTAGTACTGTTATCCCCATCATTTTCAGTGATACGAATGACGCCACCCTCATTCCCAGCACCACCATCCAGTTTGAAGAGTTTGATGGGAGCAGTGGTGCACCAAATGTGGACAACGGTGCGCTACTGCAGTCAACAACAGAATATGGTGTGAATGAAAATGAATTAACAACCTCGGGCACCAAATTACCTGTTAGCACTGTTTTCCCCATCATTTTCAGTGATGTGAGTGAAGCCACCCTCATTTCCAGCACCACCGTCCAGTTTGAAGAGTTTGATGGGAGTAGTGGTGCTCCAAATGTGGACGACGGTGCGGTACTGCAGTCAACAACAGAGTTTGGTGTGAATGAAAATGAATTAACAACCTCAGGGCCAGGCAAGATGGTCCTTGGCATCCCAGTGACATCTATAGCAGAGGTGCCAACAACCACTGAAGAACCTGCTCCAATGGCAACAACCTCTATATCTACAACTTCCAGTACACCACAGTCAAGTACAACAGCATCCAGCACAGAGAAGATGAGCAGACGGCCGAATAACGTGGAAGAGACGAGCGAGAGCAACGCTATTGATATGCCGCATCCAGTAATCCCGTTGGACAGTGAGTTTCCTCCAAATAACATCATCCCCAGGAGAGGACGCGTGTTTCTGCGTGAGAAAACACGGAATAAGCGCATCCAGGAACTGCTTGAGGAGAAGCGAAACTTCTTGAGACGGATGAAAAGAGCACAGGGGATTTGAACCCTGTCCAGTTTCTCTTATAGAGATACAGCTGCCAAATGCTACTTCTGAATCCAGACTTTATGTTGGTGTTAGGTTCAAGAACTGGAAAATGGCCTAAATATTTAATTAACTGATGCTTTTCCCTCTTTTAATGACATGGCAAACTGATTTTTGTAGAACAAAACCACTAGCATGTGTTTGCACAGTGTCTTTGAACCTCAACAATGTCCCTTTAGTAGGTTTCACTGAAGGATATTCTCATTCAAAGTGATTTATCATTTTAAAGAATTAGTTCAGCCAAAAATGTTAATTCTGTCATCATTTATTCAACCTTATGTAATTCCAAACCTGTATGACTTTCTTCTTCCTGATGTAGAACATTTTCCATACCATATAACTGAATGGTAACGAGGAGCTATCAATCCCCAAAATGACAATAAAGCATCATACGAGTAATTTTCCGAAGTCTTCTGAAGCCATTTGGTAGCTTTGTGCAAAAAAAAAAAAAAAAAAAAAATTCACCAACAATATCATAATACATCATAAACATAAATCTTGAAATATTCACATTTCAGGATATACAAATACGGGTCAAGATTTTTGTATGGTACTTTTATTATTCTGTTTTGAAGCTTGACTGCTTCTGGTCCCCATCCACTTTCAATGAATAAAAAAAAAAGCAGCATGAAAAAATAAAGGGAAGTCAACAAGAAGGTGAGTGAATGATGAGAGAAATTTCATGTTTGGGTGAACTAAAAGCCATTGACAAAGAGTTAAATTAATTATCATTTGCACAAATGCCTTTGCCCAAATATGCTGAATGACAGATACAGACAATTATAGGCACACACTGTATTATCTGTAAATTACAATAGCATATAAATAGTGCACTATTTTATTGAGTTGGCACCAGTCTGAAATGTACTGTACATGTTGGCTATATATGTTTCAGCTGCAGATTTTATCATAATTTTTTTTTTTTACACAGGGTCGAAAATTTGGAACACATGGTGATAATATGGCAGTTCAGTACATTGTTATACTGAAGAAATGAGGTTCAACAAGTGAATCAGCAGCCACTTAATGCACAGTAAATGCTCTTTCACTATGTAAAATGAATAGCACTAATTTACCCTAGAGAAGTGAATCAGAGTCACGTGCGTATTTATCCAGACATGGCATGCAGTCAAGACATTTCCATTACTCAATATATCACTGTCTCATATGTTTTGGCTTACATGTATCTGTAATGAGAAAAATTACGCAGTTGTTTTCACTTGCAAGTGATTTGACAAGAACAATTCAGGGATGCTCCATAGAGAATACTTACAGATTTTTATTTTATGCTTGTGAATTATATTTCCTTTCACCAGTATGCAAGCTTATGCTGAAACTTTATCAAATCAGATCAAGAAGATAAATATTTTTTGTGAGATATTGATGATTATGAGTGTGCAAAGACTCCATTATTATGTAAAAAGCAGAAGAAAATGTCAAAAACAGAAATAAATGTTCTATATTGCAAGAGTTTCAGAGTTTCACATTCCTCTAGTACATTTTCTTGTGCTTTTACAGACCTTTTTAGACGTTTATAGTTACTTCAATTTAAAGTGTATATCTTTTTCATTAGAATTCTAAAACAAGCATATACGTACATACAGTATCACCTTCATTTTTAATCTTATCTATCAATTTATCATTCTTCTCTGCACATTTTGCTCTTAAAGTTTTGTACAACTCACATGTTAAATAATTAGAACAAACCTTTACAACTGTAATTAAGTAAGTTAACTACAAATTCTTTAAAATCACTTAAAAAAAAAAAAAGCTCACGTATTCTTCTCATTATTTTACATCTTTGCATGAAGGTTCTCTTGAGAAAGAACTGGGATAATTAGAACAGAAGAAATTAGAGATGTATCTCTGCAAGGGCGCCTCGCCTCACTTCATTAGCTTTCATCCTCACCACAGGTGAAAGTCTGGATGGATGGACCAATCACCACATCCATTCCATACAGACTCAGGAATTAAGAACAGTGAGAAACAGGACCCATATGAAAGAATCACAAATGAAAAGAGATGGAGGTCAAATCTTTGCTAAAGTCTCCTGTTGAGAAAAAGACACTAGTGTTTCGTTTCCCCTAGAGTTTCATAAGATATTTTACATAAGAGAACAATTAAAAACTTGCCATGGTAGGCCTACCAACATATGCAAAATTCATATATTCATATATTTTAATATGAATATTTCACTTAATTCTAGATCTATATTCTTAGTATACAGTATGTTGACAATTGTCTCATTTGTATCTCTTCTAAATTTTATAAGGAATTGTAGGAGAAACACCGAAGTCAAGGTTGACATACAACTAAAACTCCTGAACTATGAAAGTTCAACCTCTGAACAATTTCCTCTCTCCTCTCTGCAGAAGATCTTGAGTTCTGAGGTAGGTTGTTGAGTTTAAAGCTGATGTAATTTCTCCGTCACTATCAGAGCAGAAATGCATTGGTTAAAGGAACACGCCACCGTTTTTTTTAAATAGGGGTTATTCAACGTCTCCCCTACCTTTAGATAGGTGGGCAAACGCATTTTTGTGTCAGTGCATGCATTGTCTTAGGGACCGGTTGGCATTTATGGAAAGGGCCACCGGAGGAAAATAGGGGAGGGTCTTGTCTTTTTATTCTTTGTTGAGGGGAGGGTCATCCAACTTTTGTATTCATGAAAACAGCAAAATTTCAAAGTGGCTTGTTAGGTGCATATTTTTTCCATGTAGCTTTATGTAGCTCTCTCGTTCTCGGTCCCCCATCGCTATTAGATGGGTCTGACCCAACAAAAATCCAGTTTGGCGCTGTTTGACAGTGCATGCTCACTTCAGTACACGCTCAGAAAAAGTGCATTAGAACAGAACGCCAATGAAATGTTTACCCGGCAAAGCTTTAAAGCACGAGCAAATAATGAACTTTTGTGATTGTGAATAAGTGCAGTGTCCTTCGAGTGTAACTCTACCGCTGCATTAACATGTGATGTGAATGTACGTAGAGTTTTACAGTATTGGGACTGAGGCGCCAGAACTGCAGCTGATATAATGTGCGCTGTAGCACAATACTACCATATTTTAGTTTCCATTCTTATTGTGTTTCCACAACAATGTTAGTGAGTAAATCTACTGAAATTGCCACCATAACAGTGGAGTGTGATGTTTTAGATGTAGGGCTACCACATTTTTAAATCACTATTAGTATTATTGGGAGTTAACGTAATAAAATACGTAGCCCTACACCAAAAAAACTAGTTGAGGATAAATTCTTTAAAATTGGGCAATTCCAGCGTTATGGACATGACATTTGCAGTCAAAACTTGAAATATAAATTATCAGAAAATGCATTTAATACTGAAACGTCTGTTTATATATTCATGCTCACTTAAAAAAGGAGTCCAGACATTAGAAAAATGTCAGTCTACACATTTATGCACGTTTTATATTTAATATGAGGGAAATACACATGTGATGTGACACAAAAAATCTTTAACTTTTAGGTGGCAAAATATTTTTTTGTAATTCTATGAACTACGCTGCGCAAAACAAAAGTAATAGCCTACTACCCACCGGATGAAGAAGGGTCGGCCTCCACATAACAAAATATTCTTTTTATTTTATTTTTCGTGTTCGCATTTATGAGGGGAAAAAAAATGTTACGGACGTCACTTCTCCGTTACGGACATGACCGCTCTGAAAGTGACTTTAAAACTTTCACAGAGACCTCAAACAGAAAGCACAAAGCCTTTCTTTAAAGTGAATTTCGTTTTTTATTAATCTTAATTTTAATCAATGTTTCATCATCCAATTGCCTGGATTTAATAAATAAGAAGTAAATATAGTAGAAAATAGATCATGCCACTGAGGCGCCGGCGTGTGAACTGGACTCCCGTCTAATAAATGAACCGAAACACAGCGTATAAGGTACTTGCCTCACAGACCTGATAAATATATAGAAAGCTTGAAATGTCTGTATGAATCCGTATGAAATGTGCATTTCTCTCTGGCGTGTTCACTACTGAGAAGATCGCGAGTCAGCATCGTCACCTTTATATTTGCAGCCGACACTGACAAAGACTTGTTTACAGAGGTGGGTAGTAACGAAGTACATTTACTTCGTTACATTTACTTGAGTATTTTTTTGGAAAATTTGTACTTTTAAGAGTAGATTTAATTGTGGGTACTTTTACTTTAACTCGAGTAGATTTCTAATGAAAAAACTGTACTTTTACTTCGTTACGTTTGGCGACGTTCCTCTCGTTACTTTATTTTAATGCAATATGTTGTTAAAAGCGTAGTTTATTCTAAGCGCGCGCTCTCTCTTTTTTCTGGGCATGAGCGATGCTCAATTCACAAATGAATCACTCTTTTGAGTCGATTCTGTTCAAAGACTTCATCAAACAAGTTGGGCAGATCTGTCTAAATCGGTTCGCGAATCAGTTTGAATGATCTGTTCAGTTTCCTGCACGCACTGAATCGTCTCGGAGTCGTAACAGGAAGATTTAAGAACATCAAGAACATTGTGTGGCGGTCCATAGTCTACAGTACAGTCTAGAAAGTTAATCTGCAAATGCATCATATTTTTTGCCAGCGATGAAGATCTTTATTAGTTGAACTTGAACATCTTCGTAAACTTCGTAAGCTGTCTGTGAATGAATTATTCCACACGACGATACATTCGTCAACCAATTATACATTTACATTTAATACATTTTACAACCAAACACATTATTACGCCATATATAGCACTACTACAAAGTATGGCATTACCCTTTTTTTTGGACATATACATTACTTTATACATTAAATAAGCTATCATCGTCCAGTTTATGAATGTGTGTACACACACAATGTATTCTCGGTGTTGTAGTGTCGGTATTGCGCAGTGGCGTGCGAACTCGACTTGAAAACGAATGCCTTTGCCTGCCTTATTAGACTCAGTTAACCAGTTTAAAGATGCTTTCATAAATATAGCCTACATTTAAATACATTTTGGAGAACAGACAGAAGAAGATCCGTGCATTTGATCGTTGTTTATGTTGGGCATGACATGACTGCGAGCACATGTGCAGAGTTTTAACACTTTCTAATCTGTCAATGGTTCCCATCCCTTGAATGCAAAACTCCATAGAGTCACTTTATTCCGACATTGTCTAATAATCCAAATGTAGTTGTATAAGTTACTATACTATTATACAAACCAAAGGACAGCCAATGGTTTTCAGGCTATAGATATACAGAAATAATGTTTGTCTCTTCTGTTTTTGTTGCAAAGATAGCTTATCTAATTATGATAATAATAGTCATTTAAATGAAAAAAAAAAATCTAAATAATATCATGTTACATATACAGTATATATATATATATATATATATATATGCCTATGTGTAAAGTAACTAGTAACTAACTACTTGAGTAGTTT